CATGTCAAAACAAATTGAGTCAACCCCTCTAATCAATGCCAAAGGCTTCAGCGAATAAATATGTTTTAAGAAGACTTTTAAATTCAGAGAGAGAAGAGGCCTGCCTAACATGCAAGGGTAGATCATTCCACAACTTTGGAGCAACTACAGCAAAAGCACGATCACCTTTAGATTTATACTTAGTTTTTGGTACCTTAAGGAGCTGCTGATTGGCGGACCTAAGGGAACGGGGAGGTGTATATGGTTGTAGTAGCTCCGAGAGGTAGGGGGGGGCCAGGCCATTAAGAGATTTAAAAGCAAATAAGAGAATTTTAAAAACAATCCTAAAATGTACAGGTAGCCAGTGGAGTGAAATTAAAATTGGGGTAATGTGCTCAAACTTTTTTGTTCCAGTTAAAAGACGTGCTGCAGCATTTTGCACAACCTGCAGGCGCCTAATGGACGCATCACTAACCCCAAAATAAAGTGCGTTACAATAATCCAGCCTAGAAGTAACAAAGGCATGGATTACTGTCTCAAAATGCTGTTTCGATAAGATAGGCTTTATTTTGGCTAATTCCCTCAAATGAAATAGATTTAAACATTTTTTAGAATTGCAAAAAGTATGATGGCAGTGTACTGAATGAACACGTAAAATACTAAAAATATACAGCTGTAACATTAAAACTACCGAGGGTGTGAGGCGAATGTCACTGAGCTCATTCTTCTACAACAATACAAAGAATTGTAATCCTACGAATCCATGGCATCTAGTATACTTGTCAATGTTATCACAACACATTCCACATACAGTGGGGCAAAAAAGTATTTAGTCAGCCACCGATTGTGCAAGTTCCCCCACTTAAAATGATGACAGAGGTCAGTAATTTGCACCAGAGGTACACTTCAACTGTGAGAGACAGAATGTGAAAAAAAATCCATGAATCCACATGGTAGGATTTGTAAAGAATTTATTCGTAAATCAGGGTGGAAAATAAGTATTTGGTCACCTCAAACAAGGAAAATCTCTGGCTCTCACAGACCTGTAACGTCTTCTGTAAGAAGCTTTTCTGTCCCCCACTCGTTACCTGTATGAATGGCACCTGTTTGAACTCATCATCTGTATAAAAGACACCTGTCCACAGCCTCAAACAGTCAGACTCCAAACTCCGCCATGGCCAAGACCAAAGAGCTTTCGAAGGACACCAGGAAAAGTATTGTAGACCTGCACCAGACTGGGAAGAGTGAATCTACAATAGGCAAGCAGCTTGGTGTGAAAAAATCAACTGTGGGAGCAATCATCAGAAAATGGAAGACATACAAGACCACTGATAATCTCCCTCGATCTGGGGCTCCACGCAAGATCTCATCCCGTGGGGTCAAAATGATCATGAGAACGGTGAGCAAAGATCCCAGAACCACACGGGGGGACCTGGTGAATGACCTGCAGAGAGCTGGGACCAAAGTAACAAAGGTCACCATCAGTAACACACTACAACGGCAGGGAATCAAATCCCGCAGTGCCAGACGTGTTCCGCTGCTGAAGCCAGTGCATGTCCAGGCCCGTCTGAAGTTTGCCAGAGAGCACATGGATGATACAGCAGAGGATTGGGAGAATGTCATGTGGTCAGATGAAACCAAAGTAGAACTTTTTGGTATAAACTCAACTCGTCGTGTTTGGAGGAAGAAGAATACTGAGTTGCATCCCAAGAACACCATACCTACTGTGAAGCATGGGGGTGGAAACATCATGCTATGGGGCTGTTTTTCTGCCAAGGGGACAGGACGACTGATCCGTGTTAAGGACAGAATGAATGGGGCCATGTATCGTGAGATTTTGAGCCAAAACCTCCTTCCATCAGTGAGAACTTTGAAGATGAAACGAGGCTGGGTCTTCCAACATGACAATGATCCAAAACACACCGCCCGGGCAACAAAGGAGTGGCTCCGTAAGAAGCATTTGAAAGTCCTGGAGTGGCCTAGCCAGTCTCCAGACCTCAACCCCATAGAAAATCTGTGGCGGGAGTTGAAAGTCCGTGTTGCTCGGCGACAGCCCCAAAACATCACTGCTCTCGAGAAGATCTGCATGGAGGAATGGGCCAAAATACCAGCTACTGTGTGTGCAAACCTGGTAAAGACCTATAGTAAACGTTTGACCTCTGTTATTGCCAACAAAGGTTATGTTACAAAGTATTGAGTTGTATTTTTGTTATTGACCAAATACTTATTTTCCACCCTGATTTACGAATAAATTCTTTACAAATCCTACCATGTGGATTCATGGATTTTTTTTTCACATTCTGTCTCTCACAGTTGAAGTGTACCTCTGGTGCAAATTACTGACCTCTGTCATCATTTTAGGTGGGGGAACTTGCACAATCGGTGGCTGACTAAATACTTTTTTGCCCCACTGTATACAGATTGGCTCAAAACTGTCAAGAAAAGAGGGAGACACATGAGGTGGTAACTGAGAAAATATGCATATATTTTCTGAAAATGTCAGTAACGCAATGGAGAAGTAAAATGTTAATGTTTGTATCTTTGTGTAGTTTGTTGTAGTTTTCTTGTGACAGTCCATTATCCCTGAAAAAAATTGTTAATGAGCTTAGAAACGCAGCTTGTTAATATATGAAACTGTATTAATAACAAACAAGCATAGCTGAATTAAAAGGCTTGAGCAGTGCACGACATGGTTAACTGTCTCCACTGGTTTAAATATGTAAATATTAGAGATGGCACGATACCACTTTTTTATGTCTGATACCGATATCATAAATTTGGATATCTTCCGATACCGATATGAATCCAATATAGTGTGTTTTTTAATCAATAAAAATGTTTTTTTTTAAATATCTTGTGCATTATCAAGTTTTAAAAAACAAAACACTAAAGCTTTCTGTTATACCTGTATGCAAAAATACACTGCACCCAAAATATTTCTATGTTCAGCAATCACTGATCAATCAAAACTTTAAACCTACACCATCCTCCCTATTCTGGTATTTTAAAGAGTATTAGCATGGAAATATTAAACAACCTAATAAAGGGTTGCACTCCCAGCAAAAATATTAGGGAACATGAGAATAAGAAAGAAAAGTATGTCTTTGTGCCCCCCTTTCCCTGTTCATGCCCTATCGGCCCTCCTGGCTAAACTTTGCTAGACCCGCCCCTGCAAAGTTACCAGCCGTGTAACTGTGTGGACCAAAAACAAGCAAGAGAGACTCGCACAGAAAAGCCAATCAGCTGATCATTGATCAGTTTCACAATTGAAGTAGCAACAGGAGAGGGAGGGAGAGAGAGAGGCAGTCGCTCCATATATGGTTGTTAAGCTTAACGCGGGAATGCTTTACAAACATTCAGAGATGAACTTACACACTTGCTTTACTTCTTTCTTGGATAACTTTCTTGGAGATGAAATGCCGGTTTGGTAGCGAGGCTCCAAATACTCAACCAGACCACCGACAGGTCTCGCACGCCACAGTCACTCTATGACGAGACGCATACTGCTCCGACAAGCTAAGGTTATGAGCTGAGTTACGCCATGTCGCAAGTTTTGTGAGGTGCTTTTTTGATATCCTCTGATCCAGTCATTTAGGTCAGTATCGGACCGATACCGATACATAATATCGAATCGGTCCATCCCTAGTAAATATGTATGAAAAATGAAGGCGTCTGGACCAAACAGCTAGTTAAACTTACTAGTGATTTCTCAGATATACTAATCTTAATGTGCTGGTTGAGCCTGTGCCTGTTCCACTTGCCTAAGGAAGTTATTAAAACTTTTCACACTGCACTCCAGCTTGTATACACGTTTGTCGGGTTGGTTTGTAAGAGGAAATGCTTGCTCGTAATGATCTGTTACGATGATAAATTCCAGAAGCTCATCTACTGGCTAATGCTGATTCTGTTTCCACACAAACTGGGAATCTCAGAACTTTGAATGCAGAGCCAGTGGCAGCATACCTTGCATGCTAATCTCCCATTGGTCTCCCATCAAACACCAGATGTTTATCTGGTCTCTCAGCTTGTCAAGCTTCAGGCATAGTTAACGGGACACAGATATGCTCATGAAGTAGAAGCACACAGTTTTCAGTAGGATCCAAGACAAGTAAAGCTTCCAGTAACAAAAGCCAACTGCAGTCAGAAGATGGCAGTAATATAAAGGATGGGTGGAAGTTTGATGGCAGATCGCTGTTTCAGATTAAAAAAGATCTTTCACATTAATTGTTTCTGATTTCTTGATTTGACCGGGCAGTCGCTGCTTAGCCTGCTTGTCTGTTGGAACACCGCTGCGTTACAGTTTTATTTATGAGTAGATAAAGTATTCATCTTGAACTAGATGACTGGGAAAAGTTCAGCATAAACACATATTGAAGAACCCTGGAGAAATTATTACGTCTAATTTTTTTTTTCTTGCTAGCAAAATGTCGGCTGTATGTATCAGATGTATGCACTGTGTTTGTGTAGTTGTCACAGTACAAGACATTGTGTGGTCTTTTGGAGAACATAATTTTCTGTAATATTTTCTCTTACTCAAACTCAGGTCCAGCTTTGATGTTAGAGTTTGGAGGATCATGAACGCCTTGAAGCTCCATATTAAATAGTTGGCAGTAGGCAAACCTATAACCAAGGTGACCAGTGTGAACCAAAGGAACATGGCTGTCTTCAAACCTGAGAATGTGGAAGACTTCTATGAGATTGGGGAAGTTCTGGGAAGGTATGGATGCAACTGTTTTATGCTCTAGTGTGTTCCAATAGGTGCTCCGCAGTACAGTGATGTATGGTGAGGACATGTACAGATTTGTTTCTTTTGAATACCAGCATATTGGATTTGAAATAAGCAGGATTTCAGCCTTAATTTGATGGTGCTGATACCCCAAAAAGCTCTCTGAGTAATAAGGTAAAACAAAGAAGAAACGATAATCCTATGTTAACTCACAGTCATACAAAGTGAACGATTTACATGCATTTAATGCAACCCATACCAGACTATTGCAAAATGACCACAGAAACCTCTGTGCTTGTGTGCTTAACAAACTTCCCATTTTGAGCAATTATACTGCAATTCCACTATAAATTATTAATCACAATAGGAATAAAAGCTCTCAGAGACATCAGTCTCCCAGTCATGCCCAGTATACTGTAACAAGAGCTGTGTCCTCTGCTTTTTTTTAATGCCTGCCTACAATAACCTGCAGCCTTGTACCACGTATGGTTGGTCTGAAACCATATTAACGAGGTGATGTGTGTGAAAGTAAAATTCCCTGTTCCCATAGTAGCAATCACGGCAATATCGCACTATGGGATGCAATTCAACTCAGAATCATTTATCTCATTCCACCACTCCTGATTGGCTGGTGATTGCAACAACTACGTCAGGCAGAAACTCCCACCCTTCAGTAGCTTGTGCTATTACATAGCCATTATTGAAACACCTCTTCAAGCTTTGGCGCATATCTCAACCTATATTAGGCTAGCTAGCTATCTTACCTGTCCATAGACAGGAGTGTTTAGCAAACTTCCTGTCGCTGGGTGCTTGATACCTTTTGCTCGTCTCTGCTGAAACCAAGTCTGCACCATAGATTGGGCGTCGTACTCTGCACTAAGGCGGTTTAGTTAGTACGGTTTACCACACTAGCTAACACTGTTTTCCTTTTCTGCTGAAGTTAGTAAACCAGCTAACTCGTTGTCCTTGTTGTTAGCACCATAGATAGTGAAGGTGGACAGAAACTTGCAGAAACTCCGGGGCTTGACTCTAAGCCCAACACTGTGATGAGGAGGAGGGCATACCAACCTCTCCTGCTCAAAGCATGAATATGCAAAACATGTGCAAATACTCTGTGTGTCGGCTAAATATATCGTGGCTCAGCATCATAACAGAAACCACTGGATCACGTTATGCAGGGAAGAAATTGCCCCTGGCCACCTGAGCGGCAGAGCAGTTACTCAGAGTTTTTCCGAAGCTAATACTCTTGTGTAAGGACCACCTGTTCAGCAGCAGAAGGCTGTGAGGATATGGTGATTAGGCCTGACCCAAATGTCTGGGAAGACTATTTGTTTTTACTTTAGCAAAAAAAAAAAAAAGTCATATTTTTCAGGACACGGGATTTTTGATGCATGCCAGGCTTGGTGTTTTTTGTGAATTCTGTCCTTCCCCTGTACAGTGGGCATTTTGGCCAGGTTCGCCAGGTTCGGGAGCGGACCTCTGGGAACTTTTGGGCAGGCAAATTCCTGAAGATTCGGAAGGTTGCATGCAGCCGTCTTGGCCTGGACAGGAGCAGCGTGGAGCGAGAGGTGGAGATCCTCCAGGCTGTCCAACATCCAAACATTGTGGCTCTCAAAGATGTTTTTGAAAGTCGCGCTGAAGTGGTGCTCATTCTGGAGCTGTGAGTTGACAAATATCTCCATAAAGCGTAAACACTTCACTGTTCTACAAATTTAAACCTGTTTTCTGTTAATGCAAATCCTCCCCCTCCACCATAACATATGGGAAACAAACCATAGTATGAGAAAATATATATTTGCTACCCTGTCCTGTACAGGGAAAAAATGAAATGTTTAACAAGTGTCTCATTAAAACACTTCCTGCTTAGTGTCAGTGGAGGGGAGCTGTTTGACTTCATTGCTGAGAAAGAGAACCTGTTAGAAACTGAGGCCATTGAATTCATGAAGCAGATACTGGAGGGTCTGAAATTCATACACTGCAAAAACATTGCCCACTTTGACCTCAAGGTAAGTATACTTAGTTACATCTATCTTTTATATTGTGGAACAGAACATTTTCAAAGTCATGGTTTCCAACATAACAATTTTCTCCACATTCAGCCAGAAAATATCATGCTGTCAGACAAAGTGTCAAAACCTCCCAACATCAAACTCATAGACTTTGGCCTGGCTCACTTGTTTCACCCGGGAGAGGAGTACAAGAGCACAAGTGGTACTCCACAGTACATTGGTGAGTACATTGCTGTATTAAAAAATGGTATTTGGCATTATGTTTTGGTGAAATGTTAATTATCTGTTTAGTTTTATTTTACAATGCATAAAACATGTTTTTATTCTCTGACCAAAGATCATCCAAATCTTTCTTTAGTGTGACTCATGTTTGCTGTCACTGGTCTGGTATAGCCTCACAATTGTTTCAACTTTTGTTGGGCTTTTTGCTTTTTCCCACGTTTTAAGGTTTGTGCCTTTCATGAAACAGCTGTAAAGATGACCAAAATAAACTGTCTTAGTTCAAGTAATGTTATCTTAACCTACTAAGAACTTTCCATGTGTGTTTTTGTGTAAGGCACACTAGATGCTTCCAATCAGTGACAGTCACAAGGTTTAGTTGGTCTTGTTGTTCATGTAATCATGATCAACAAGACCAACTAAACCTTGTGACCCTGTCTTTATCCACTGAAATAAATCGTTGTTTGTTCTGATAAGCTTTGATGCAACTTCCAAACCAGTTCAGCAGTCTGATCACCCAGCATCCCAATATGCTGATGTAGCGACATCCATATCTTAAATATAGGCTGTGGTCAAGCATTGAAGAATTATGTTTAAAATGGGCCAAGACTCCATATTCAATTCAATTTTATTTATATAACGCCAAATCACAACAAAAGTCGCCTCAAGGCGCTTCATAGATACAGAGAAAAACCCAACAATCATATGACCCCCTATGAGCAGCACTTTGGCAACAGTGGGAAGGAAAAACTCCCTTTTAACAGGAAGAAACCTCCAGGCTCAGGGAGGGGCGGGGCCATCTGCTGTGATTGGTTGGGGTGAGAGAAGGAAGACAGGATAAAGACATGCTGTGGAAGAGAGACAGAGGTTAATAACAGATATGATTCAATGCAGAGAGGTCTGTTAACACATAGTGAGTGAGAAAGGTGACTGGAAAGGAAAAACTCAATGCATCATGGGAATCCCCCGGCAGCCTACGTCTATTGCAGCATAACTAAGGGAGGATTCAGGGCCACCTGGTCCAGCCCTAACTATATGCTTTAGCAAAAAGGAAAGTTTGAAGCCTAATCTTGAAAGTAGAGATAGTGTCTGTCTCCTGAATCCAAACTGGAAGCTGGTTCCACAGAAGAGGGGCCTGAAAACTGAAGGCTCTGCCTCCCATTCTACTTTTAAATACTCTAGGAACAACAAGTAGGCCTGCAGAGCGAGAGCGAAGTGCTCTAATAGGGTGATATGGTACTACAAGGTCATTAAGATAAGATGGGGGCTGATTATTTAAGACCTTGTATGTGAGGAGCAGGATTTTGAATTCAATTCTGGATTTAACAGGAAGCCAATGAAGGGAAGCCAAAACAGGAGAAATATGCTCTCTCTTTCTAGTCCCTGTCAGGACTCTTGCTGCAGCATTTTGGATCAGCTGAAGGCTTTTCAGTGAGTTTTTTGGACATCCTGATAATAATGAATTACAGTCGTCCAGCCTGGAAGTAATAAATGCATGAACTAGTTTTTCAGCGTCACTCTGAGACAGGATATTTCTAATTTTAGAGATGTTGCACAAATGGAAGAAAGCAGTCTTACATATTTGTTTAATATGTGCGTTGAAGGACATGTCCTGGTCAAAAATGACTCCAAGGTTCCTCCCAGTGTTACTGGAGGCCAAGGTAATGCCATCCAGAGTAAGAATCTGCTTAGATACCATATTTCTAAGCTTTTCAGGGCCGAGTACAATAACCTCAGTTTGATCTGAATTAAGAAGCAGAAAGTTAGCGGCCATCCAGGTCTTTATGTCTTTAAGACATTCCTGCAGTTTAACTAATTGGTGTGTGTTATCTGGCTTCATGGACAGATAGAGCTGGGTGTCATCTGCATAGCAGTGAAAATGTATGCTATGTCTTCTAATGATACTGCCTAAGGGAAGCATGTATAATGTAATCCAACAACATTCAGTCTGGGACCACACCAATGGACTTTATAATAAATGGAGGTGCTTTACTTTGGCTGCCTTAGTGGAAACAATGCTGGAGGAAAAGGAGGGAAAAGAGCCAGGACCCTCTGAATTCACTGCACCACCCCTTCCTTGGAGCTGAGCCACACCCCACCATATACCCACCTCCAAACTCAGGCCGGGGATTTCCCATTCTGAGAGTTTGTGGCTTATGTAATCAACACCCTTTTTGAAAAAGCCAAATAAAAGTGTGTGGAATTGGTAAAATCCGTACAGAGTGGAAACTCTGGAGACAAGGGAATATGCCAGTAGCACTTAGTCAAATCCAGTGTCATGAAAAAATGAGCAGTACCAAACCAGTCCTGGAGTTCATTGACCCATGGCATGGAATAAGCGATATGCTGTGACACCTCAATCATCTTGCGGTAGTCAACACAGAACCTAATAGACCCACCTTTCTTTACCACCACGGAACTATGGAGGTATACCATTCGCTGTGTGACGGAGAGGAACCGCATTGAGCAACCAGATTTCCCAGGACATTTGTCTGGTACTTGGCCTGGTCCTGGGGCTTCCAAGTTGCTGTCGGTGCACTGTTGTCTGCTCCCGCTCCATGGCAGCCAGCTCTGCCACCGCACCGGCTGCATGGTTCGTGGGTCCGATATCTTGTCCTGGGTAGTTGGGTGCCACTGTAACACACATTTGTGTTATGTTAGGTTCCTGGCGTGCTGCTCAGATAGTGTAGGCGTGATCTGATGATGATCCCCAGCTGTGTTGGCCAGTCTGTCCTGGAACTGCCCTCTGTACCCACTGCACCCACCCTCTCCACAGCTGAGCCACAGACCACCCTGCGTGCTATAAGAACAGCAAAGCATGCCATACTGGAAAGATTCTACATTTCTTCTGTGACCCTGGTAACACTATATGGCAGAGGATTAAAAGATAACAGATTATAGGGCTGCTCCTCCGCTTTGTGACAACAACCTACACTGTCTAAATTACAATAACATTTTCAGTAAATTTGCAACATATAATACCACCACTACACCAAAAGCCAGTCTTCACCCTGATCAAAAAGAACTGAATCTCAGCGTTGCTAATATCTGTAAAACCCCGAAGAGAGTGAACGCAGCAGGCATTCCAAGACGAGTACTGAGAGTGAGTGTGCTGACCCATGGGCAAATGCGTTATGGACATCTGTAACACCTTGCTGGTCTGTCACTATCATTCCAGTGACACAAAATTCACTGTCACTTTTTTTTTTCCAACAATATCTTTATTATTTTTTACATTTTAATGACTTACAAACAGTCCAACATTCTAAATACTACATGAACATACACTCCTCTCAGACAGCAAAAAGAAAACAAAAA